TCAAAACCGAAACCAAACAGAATTTATTGGTTTTCAAAAACTTCAAACCCAAACCAATTATTTTATTTTTTGATTTTTCAGTTTCTGGTTTTGCTCACCCCTATTTGTGGCTATTAATACAATATTTTCTCATGATCCTTCTCATTCATTAAATGATATATATATATATATATATATATATATATATATATATATATATATATATATATATATATATATATATATAAATCCCCTACTACAATATGAGGGCCTTTGGCATTTACATACAACAGATATGGACCATACTAAACTAGGACAATACAAAATATAATATGCAATGAGTCCAATAATAGCCCCCCTCCCCCCCAGTTGGAACCGGAGATAACATACGAACATTCAAACTGGATCGAAAATCTAGAAATAAAGTTGTAGGAATACTTTTAGTGAAAATATCAACATATTGAGAGGATAAGGGAACATGAAGAACCCAAACATGACTTGTAGCAACCTTGTCACAAACAAAGTGAAGATCTATCTCAATATGCTTTTGTCATTTGATGTTGAACTGGATTAGTCGACATATACATGTCACCGACATTATCATAATACACAATAGTGGCCTTATGTGGAGAATAATGTAACTCAAGAAGAAGATTGCAGATCCAACACGTTTCAACAACCACATTAGCAATACCACGGTATTCGGCATCAGCACTCGAGTGAGAAATTGTATTATGTCGTTTAGATGACCAAGATAATAGGTTGTGTCCAAGGAAGACACAATAGTTGGAAGTAGAACTCCTAATGACTGGAGAACCGACCCAATCAACATCAGAATATCCGATGATGTCATGATTAGAAGAACTGTATATTTGAAGACCGTGGTAAATCATGCCACATACATATCGAAGAATGTGTTTGAGAGCATTGGAATGAGGCTCGTGGGGGTCATGCATGTAAAGACACACCTGTTAAACAGCATAGGTGATGCCTGGTCTAGTGAAAGTCAAATACTGTAAAGCACCCGGAAGAATACGATAGAGAGTCGGATCTGCGACCTAAGGACCGGTGTAATCACAGTTAGCATAAATGTTAGTGTGAGTAGTGATAGGTTTGTAGTTCAACATAGATGCACGTTCAAGAATCTCAGTAGCATAGTTTTGTTCAGATAAGAAAAGACCAGCAACAGAACGAGAAGCAGAGATGCCCAGAAAATAATGTAAATCGCCAAGATCTGTCATGGCAAACTCACAACCACGAATGGAGATGATAGATGACAACAGTTGTGAAGACGATCTTGTAAGAACAATATCATCAACATATAATAGCAAATACGCAACATCAGCACCCTGCATGCAGATAAACAATGAGGAGTCACACCTGCTGTTAGTAAAACTAATACGAATAATAAACGTTGTAAAATACTGAAACCAAGCCCATGGAGCTTGTTTGAGGCCATACAAGGATCGTTGAAGAAGACAGACATGATCCAACTTAGACGGATCACGAAAACCTGGGGGCTGATGCATATAAATAGACTCGTTAAGACTACCACGAAGAAATGCATTCTTCACATCAAGCTGACGAATTGGCCACTTATGACTAACCGTAATACTGAGAACGGTACGTATCGAGGCCGGTTTGACAATCGGACTACAAGTCTCGTCACAATCAATGTTGGGCCGCTTAACACGCCTGTTATCAATAAGACGATCTTTATAATGAGATAATGAACCATCTGCATTAAGCTTCTTTTTAAAGAGCCAAATGCAATTAATGACATTGGCATTAGTGGGCTGAGGAACGTGCACCCAGGTGTTGTTCGAAATAAGTTCAAAAAATTCTTCTTTCATTCCCTTAAGCCAGTGTGGATCCTGAAACGCTTGTACGTAAGACTGAGGTATGGGAGAGGATTAAACATGAAGATTTAATCGTTGAATAGATTTAGTAATGCCGTTGTGTTTGCGAGTCACCATGGGATGAGATAGCAAAGAGGAAGGATGAAAACGAGTAGGACGAGCAGAAGCAGGATGGATCGAAGGAGAAGTAAACTCAAAAATAGGCTCCTCCACACTAGGTGTGTCGACGTCGAGCTGATCCACAGTGGGAGGAGATGCTTCATCCAAGGCATTGTTGGTTGTGGGCTCATTAGAACTGGGCTGGCCCGTGAACTGAGATGGATCCAAAATGGGTTGATGATTCAGTGAAGATTTAGGATTGGGATGAGAATACTTATTGGGCTCACGGTCTTTACTAGAGGTGGTGGGACCAAAATTAGATGGTACATCAAAATTTTATAGAAAAATGTAGGATGGTGCGCGATCTGGTGTCATTGAACCATACGGGAAAGTCATTTCATCAAGAATAACATGACAGGAATTAATGATTTTTTGAGTATCAAGGTTAAGACACCAATACCCGCGATGATTGGTAGGGTACCTAAGAAAAACACATGGTGCAGAATGAGTGACAATTTATGAGGAGCAACGATGTGTGGAAAACACAAACATCCAAAAACACGAAGATAATTGTAGGTGGGCTTAGCACGACAAAGTTTAAAAAACAGAGTATCACTAATGGTGGAAGATGGGATGATGTTGATGAGGTGTTTAGTCATTTGAAGAGCTTCACCCAATAACTGGGTGGAAGACGAGCATGAAACAAAAGAGTGTGAACTATATTATTTATGGACCAGAGCATCCGTTCATATTTACCATTTTGTTGAGGTGTGTGGGGGGAAAGAAAAATGCATTTAAATGCCATGAGAGGCACATAGGTTTTTAAATTGATTGTTGTCATATTCACCACCGCTATCGCATTAAAGAGATTTAATATTAGTCTTAAATTGATTTTGAATTAGAGAGGGAAAATGAACAAACTTTACAAACACATCAGATTTGCACTACTAGAAAAACAGCCTTTTACGACGCGCAATCAATGACACGCGCTGATAGAGGACACGCATTTGAGCGTGCTCTAAAAATTGATGTCACTTTTCCAAAATATGAAGCATAGAGGGCACGCATTTTTGCGCGCTCTAAAATTAGTGTCTAAAAAAACGGAGGGCACCTTAAATAAAATGTGTATCGTCTAACCATGTCGCTTTATAAATTTTAATGAAACGCGCGTTTCATTCTGAGGGGGAAATGAAACCCAAAAATTAAAAAGCCCACTTTGTTTCCACCGGCTGAAAACCCTAGCTCATCCCCGCTGAAAACCCCCTTTCTTTCTTTATTATCTCTCAATTCTCAAACCTCCATTCACCTTCCGCCATATGTTGCTTCTTCGACCATTCTGAGTGTCTCCCACCGCCGTCGACTTCCAATGAAAGACGACCGTTCTTCCCCATCACCATCTATCTTTCAAATTACTAGACTAACCTCACTGCCTTCTTTCATTCACCGCCTCATCCAAATGGATTAATCCTTACACCTTCTGTCGATCGATGTCAAACCTCTTTTGATAATCCACCGCCCATTCACAATTATCTCCATCTCCTTGTGGAAAACCCTCATCCAGTCTAACCTCCACATCATCTAATCGATTGGGGCCACTTTCTTCCACTGATCAACACCAGGTGACGACCGTAGAAGATGGAGATGGAATCGGCCACAATAGACGTTGGTTGGTCCGCCTCTCTATCGTTTACCAACATGATCCCCCTTTCTTTCACTCTCAAAACCTAATCCCCATTTTTAATATATGTTTAATTTTTATAACTGTTCTCACACGAATTTATATTTTTATTGAACCCACCGTTACCAGAAAGTGAGAGGGAAGGAGAAAGACGAACAGGAAGATTTAGGTTGAAACACGTATGATGAAGGTTTCAAAGAGTAGAGACGAGCTTTTCTTTGTCCCAAACAACTGGTAAGAATTATTTTCTTCATTGAATATTTCTTCTGTGCTGTAATCAATCTTTCTTCTTGTCATTACTTGATATTGCTCGGTTTTTCTTCTCAACCTAATATGAATGATATCAATCTATTTTATCTATTGAGTTGAATTTATCATAGGTCCTTGCTGTTGGTTGTTCTGATGGTTCATGTTTCTTGAAAGAGTCAACTTCTAGAAAAAAACAAGGTGCCTCAATACGTCGATAGCTTTCACACATCCTATTCTCCGTATGTACATTTTTGCTACAGCCAATTATGCTTCCTAAAGTTTCTCCTGTTTTTCTCTTCCGTTACCATGAGTCTTTCATTACACTTCTTTTGTTGTTTGAAGACCTCCTCTGTACCCTGCTCGATGCGCACAAAGCTTGAGATTAGAGCTTATTCATGGGCTGATAGCAGTGGTTATTCAGATGTTTTCCCACCATGTGTTTATTTTTTTTCCAAGGGTTTATGTGTCGATTATGTTTTTGGTTTGTTTTTACATTACTTTGTCTTGCCCATTTTATATTGAGATTTGAAAGGGTGTTTTACTATGCAGTCCAACTGTTCGATGAAATGCTTGAACCAAGGATTCGTTAGAGTTAATAACTTATAAGGAACTGCATTGGTGCGCCAATATCTTTCTGAGGTTAGAGAAGTCAAGGATTAGGGGAGAAAATAGAGAAGCCACAAGGAAGCTCAGGTCTTGCTTGCAGCTGTAACTGTTGTTGCTGAAATGTTATTTGATAATAGAGGTTCAATACGCCTAAAATTTAAAATTGTAATCATTTTTGGTGGTTTTTATTATAGTATATGTAATAAGGTTTTTTTTGGTATTATCATTACTAATGTTGCTGGTTTTTGGAATTTTTTTTGTAGAAATGCCAGTATGTCTGGAGTAATGCAGTTTTTTAGAAATTTCTTTTCTTTTCGGGGTGTTTGCTTCAGAAATCGGTCTTTTGGAAGGGACCATTTCTTTTCGGGGTGTCTGCTTTAGAAAAAGTTGATGTGGCTATTATACATTGGATATTTACAAGAACACGTACACACCTATTATTACATATTTAGTTTTAGAACATATTAGGACATTATACTTTGATATTCAATCCAAAATCTTTTATTTCCTCTGCTTTGACTGCTTTTCTTATGAACATGGTTTTAGAACATATCAGGCAACTCATTTCATTGTCCCTAATCCCATATGTAGAACAGAGAAATTCTTTGTTGTTGTTGCATCTGGAAGGTAAACAACAAACATGAAACATCTCTTGAGTCTCGAGTCTTTACCTTGCTTTGTGATCGGTTTATCCATTTACACAAGATGTTTGGACATATTCTAGTAATCTCTTAAGTCTTAATACCCATTATTCGTTATGCTTGCAGAGATCTTGGGAGCCAAGTGATAAAGTTGATCTTCACAAGTCAAGGATCAATAAGTAGTTAGCAACAATGGCATACTACCACTTTGTCTACAAATATGTTGAAGGGGCATCATCTCAATAGGATGATATTCAAAGAAAACTTGGCAACTTACCTCCCAAGTGAAAGTTGCAAAGTTTGGGTCAAGTATTCCCATTTCAGGATCCGGTTTTGTGCGTGAGGTATCACAAGCTCCATCTGATGTGTGGGTGGTTGTTATTCTATACAAAGATGGGTAATCACTAATTCATGAATACATATCTAAGTCTCCGGATGAGTTAGTGTTTAGAAACAAGTTCTTTTTGTTGTAGTTAATGGTTTGGATATCATGGAGAAGCCAACTATTACACATATATATGACGCAGAGTGGTAACGATATTCATTATCGTTTTAAAAATAATTAATAGTAATACGTTTATATTATTGTTGTTGTTATTATTATTATTATTATTATTATTATTATTATTATTATTATTATTATTATTATTATTATTATAGATGATGATTCAATTTTTTTTTTTTGATGTATGTAGGTTCAAAAGGTTGACTGGTAGAAGTGATGTGGCAGTTTCACCTCGTGACTATAAGTTTTATGCCCCAAGACATAAGTATACGAACAATAGCATCTTTCATAGCAGCCTGCACTCGATATCAATTTCATATTTTTTGTAAATCAACTAACCATGAAATACCCAAAATTACAAAAAAAGGACAGAGTTTACTAACTCACCTGCACTGTTGATGTAAAAGAAGCAAGCTTTTTCCCCACCAGGCTGATTGCTACAGACTCGCAAATTTCTCAGCAATCTCTTCAGCCTGTGCCCCAAAAGGGTAGATTTTGACATACAAACTCAAATTCAATATCATTCTCCCTTGAAAACTATGTGTTGCTTATTAATGTTGCTAATTTTTTGTTCATTCTCGTTAACTTCATATTGGGTGTTGATGACCATGGTAATGATTCTTCATTTTGTGTATGATTGTGATTTGACAGACAAGGCTGCAAGCACAGGCTGCTGGTGTAGCATACTCGCATCCAATGACTAATCTTACGAGTCGAATGGCCGTTTTTGGACCAAACATGGTATGTTTTCTTTGTAATATTTGTTACAATGTTGTGGAATCTTGATAATCATGTAATTGTTTGCTTTAGATGTTTACGGATCTAAGATGTTCTCCATCATGTACGCGTGCTGGAGTACATGGTACAGTGTCCATCTGTCCTCCAGATTGCTTTGAGTACAAAGGAACACTTGATGTTTTCTACAAAATTATTTGGCAGTTTGGTCATCTTCTTCCTCTTATATATATTCTGTAGTCCAACACTTTTCTAATTGTTGATCATTTTAAGATTTGTGAGTGTCTTTTTAGGAAGGATTTGGAAGATTATGGCGAGGCACCAATGCTGGCCTTGCATTGGCTATACTAACTGTAAGTCCCTGATTTTTTTTCTTTTTCTTCCATTAATGAATGCTTAATGATAATATTTTGTTTGAACAGGTGGGAATCTATTTGCCTTGCTATGACATCTTCCGGAATTGGTTTGAAGAGTTTGCAGCTGAAAATGCTCCAAGCATGACACCGTATGCCCCTTTGCTGGTTGGATCATTGTCACACTCAGTTTAGGATGAGATGATTGCAGGATGAGATGAAAAGGTCTATATATTACAATACCCTTTATATGTATATCATGAAAATATTAAAAATGAAGGGCAAAACAGTCATTTTACGTCTGCGTTACTCTTTTTGTAGGGCTTTGGTCTGAATTACGTAGACAGCGAAGGCGGACGTCTCAAGGGAACTAATATTTTTTTTAATTTAATATTTTTCTTTTTTCTTAATTTAATATGTAGACAGTGAAGGCAGACGTCTCAAGGGACTAACAAACCATCTACTGAGTCGACACAGGCATGTTTTCAAAATTCGAATAATATTTTTCTTTTTTCTTTTTTCTTAATTTAATATTTTTATGTTTGTGACAACAGCTTTTATCTTTTGTACCCACCCGTGGAAGACACTCATGTGGACTTGTCGCTTGCTCCAGAAGCCCCTTCAAAATCGTCGATCGTCCCGCTAGCTCCGCTGTCGGAAATCCAGGTATTTCTCACTTCATATTGATACTGAAGTGAATTTACAACCCCTTTAAAAGCAAAACTATTTATGCTATGATCACAATTGATCGGAGTCTTTTTAATGAATCAGGATTATGACTTTAGCTGTGCTTGTTCAAATGCTTTCATATGAAATTGCAAAACTTTTCCCATCCCTGTTTGGGCAACCATCAGCAATATTGGTGCCAGGTGAATCTAATGAAACAGGATCTGCCTTGAAGATAGGAGTTGTGTTGTCAGGAGGACAAGCACCAGGAGGGCATAATGTTATATATTTGGGATGTTTGGTTAGGATTTTGAACTTCCATTTCCTATTGTTCATATTTTTCATACTTCATATGATAGATTGAAGGATTGACTAGTAAACAACAGCAATATTGGTGCCAGGTGAATCTAATTAGTAAAGAAAGTTGAAGGATTGACTAGTAAACATAAAAGTAGAATGAAAATGATAAGTGATTTTGTGTTGTGTTTACAGGGTTGATGAAAGCGAATAGCTCTCGAGTTAGAAGTGGAAAAGAAAGCTCAAGCCGAAAGAGATAAGATGCTGAAAATGCAAGTGTTGTATTCTTCACTTTAATTGTTAGTATGAAACATAGAGTAGATTAGATGAATTCAAATTTATATATTGTAAGAAATAGAATTGTATGACATTAAAGTTTATGCAATGGATTGTATTTTTTTATATATGGTATTTTATTTCTATTATAACACATTAAATGCAAATTTAATTTAAAAATTAATAAATATATAAATATATTTTTTTTAAATATCTAAATTTACGATACGCAAAAATGTGTGTCATTTACATTTATGACATGGCCTTTCTTGACAGGGGCTTTCTTGATACGCATTGCGTGTCATTAACACGTGCGTCGTAAGGTTACGACACGCGAATGCGTGTCGTCTTCCTTTATGACAGGGCCTTCCTTGATATGCATTGCGTGTCGTAAACGCGCGTCGTAATTGTGCGTCGTAAATGTGCGTCGTCTATAGACGACGCGCAAAAGCGCGTCGTCTCTCTTTATGACAGGGCCTTCCTTGACGCGCATTTGCACGTCGTCTGAGCCTTTTACGACGCGTAATGAGCGTCGTAAAAGGCTGTTTTTCTAGTAGTGTTGGCACGTAAAGGATAATCCCACAAGAAATGCAAAAAATTATCAAGAAAAATAACGTAGTATTTTATTCCACTAAAACTCGTGACAGAATATCTCCACACATCTGAATGAAAAAGGTCAAAAGGAGAAACAGAAACAGAATTTGAAGTTGTTCCCGCACCTGCCACACTTGGAACTCCTCCACTTAGCTGATCCTAAAATTGTGTCGGCGGACTTAACCCACTTGGTCGCCAGCTGATAGTATCCTGAAGTTGTTCTCTTCTCCTTCTGTTGAATCTCCGATTCAGTCTCGCTCCTCCTGGTGCTTGACTGCATCTCGGTCAAGGTCTGGTACTGCTGAGTAAATACAAACTCTCCAATCTATGTCTTGAGCATACTCAAGTATCATGACATATGCGCCTAATCTGAAGTGGCATACTTAGGCAGAAAAGAGCTCTCTTCGTAAACATCTTGGTGATCTCCATTACTGACTTAGTCGTCTGCTTGAGCGATAGTACTCTGGTGCCAGTCGCTCCCGCTACACAAGAGGAATATACTATGCTTAGAACATATCCATAACTTGCTCCGAAGTCACTACGGATCGCTCGGCCTACGAAAACCCTTTGGGTCACAAAACTCCCACCAATCCTTCACACCCGAAAGAAGAAGATTCAACGTAAATATCACCTTCAAGCCCTCGTGACACAAACACATGAAGAAACATCCATCCACGTTGTAAATCCAACTCGAAGCAATGATCGATTCCCTGTCACCTTTGAACTCTGGAGGCTTCGTATAACTAAACTCTTGGTATTGTATCACCCTGTCTCCCTAAGATCCAGCAATGGTGATGGCTGTTGTGGCTGCAACAGTAGCTGTGTGATGGCGGCATAGCGCCGGTCAAACTCCTCTGATATCAACTGGAAACATCCAAAAATTATGACCCAAAAATTTCATTTTTGATTTAAGAAAGAAAAACAGTATTCCAAAACATTATTCATACAATCCAATAAAGTAAGTATGTTAACATCATGAAAATCAGAGTATGTCCAATAAACAGAATCCATATGGTGTGTGTGATGCAGTCAACCCGAGCTCTTCCCCATCGAATTGGAAGTACCTGAAACATAAACTAAAAATCGTAAGCACAAAGCTTACTGAGTTCCCAAAATACCGCATACCATACATATCGTATAACGGGCCCCACCCAAATGAGATATGGGCCCCTCTCACACTCTCATAACGGGCCCTACCCACACTTGAATAACGGGCCTAGCCCAATGAGATACGGGCCCCGCCTAGACTCGAATAACAATAAGATATGGGCCCCACCCACACTCCAATAATGGGCCACGCCCAATAAACATACATATACAAGCACGTACAACTATCACACATACAACAAGTATAATAACATAACCAATCAAGGGTCGGCCTTGGTTCCTTAGTCTCATTAAACCCAGTGAGGAAACTCACCTCGAATGCTCAGTCTCACTGAAATAAATCTATAGCTGTGGCCCTGACGAATCCCCAAGCAGACAGTACAAAATAACACCACATAAACACTTGGGTTCCAAACTATAACCAATAACCTATACTTGGTGTAAAATGACCATTTTACCACTAGCCTAACTTGATCCAAAACTAAGGTCCAAGCCTACAATCTAAAAGGCCCAAAACCAAAATTCATCCAAGGCCTACAATCTTAAAGGCCTAATAACTTTCCTTAGCCCCAAAATCTTGATTTTAGATGTCCCAATAAGGCCCAAAGAAACCAAGTCCAAAGAAACAACCCACCCGAGGCACAATGATGCGAAGCGCAATCTGACTGAGTATGCGGGGTGTACTCAGTTGTACGTTGAGTGTACACGCTGCATGGTTTGTACGCTACATGTACTAGCTTGTACGCCGAAATTACTCCTTCATTAATCCATTTCTTCCATTAAGCTCTTAATGCTTAAGTTTAACGATCCAAAATACAGATCTAAGTCCCAAAGAGTACCTAGAACCATAAAGTCACTGAATTGGTGACTTTATATGCCCCAAATGAGCCCAAACTCGAAATATAACATTCTACTTCCATAAAAATGGCCATTTCTCATGCATGGTTGGGTCTAAGCTTCAAAGGTGACAACTTTATCAATCTAGGACCAAAGGAAAACTAAACGTGGCAACTCTAAGCTTCAAAAATGATATGAACCACAAGATATCATCCATGGGACCAAAAAGGGGTCCAAAAGCTAAAGAAAGGGGATCCAAGCTTCTAAAGATAAGGATCAAGACATTATACCTTGCACAACATAGAAATAGAGTAGATAACTCTGGTCTACAAGCTTCTCCTTAAACCACCACCTTGCTCCAACCTTCTCCTGCTTGAAAATGGGACAAAACACACCAAAATGCACTCAAAAGACCTTCTAAGCTCAAGAAAACTCAACAATGAGGTTAGGGTATCGTGGAGGCTAGTTAGGGACAAAAAGAGGCTGATAGAAAGGATACTTGGGTCATAATGTTCTTTATATAGTGCTCAAACCCTAAATATTAGGGTTTTGGGGTCTGGACACGTATGTTATGTGTCCTTCCTTGTACGCAGCACGTACGTGCATTGCATCCGAGTCACATATACACCAATACGCCCAATGTACCTTGGGTGGTACGCCCCGCGTACGGCACCCCCCAAGCCCAAAATGAAAAAAAGTCAAATGACTTCAAGGCCCAAACTCTAAATAATTAAATAAAATTTTTTTAATAAATACCTTAGAAATATCGTGTTACATCTTGAATTATTAGCAAACCTTTTAGGTTGCCCTCAAACCTAGTAATTGAATATGATGACGTTTAGAGAGAGAGAGAGAGAGAGAGCGAGAGACTGATTTATTGATTTATTATATTATAACACCTAGTCTTGAAAGTGCTTCATTCTTCAGGGATGCGGCCCAATCATCAGTTGTCATAGGGTTTAGGGCTTCGGGAAAGGAAGGATATAGCCTATTTTGGACGTAGTTGTCATGGTTTAAGTGATCCATGTATTTGATTGTGTCTTCAGAAGCCAAGGGTAAGACTGTAAATCGATATTGCGGTCTTTTATGGATTTTGGGTTCTTGTTTAGGAAGTTTTTAGGCAAGGATGAGTTGTTGGATGCGTAGAGATTCTCGTCACATTTCCGCTAGATATAAAGTTTGTCGGAAACGGACTTAGAACGAAGAACTATGGCCAGAAGAAATTATAGGGTTTTGAGAGTCATCGGGTACGTGGGGCGTACTGGTTGTGTTCACAGTCGTACATGGTGAGAAGATCGCGAGTGTTCCATGAATACATCGGGAGTACAAAGGGAAACGCAAGGCGTACTCCATTCAACACCAAACCGTATTTTTTCAACTTATACCCTTTATAAGCAACATTATATACTTCCTTGGGTTATTTCAGGTCAGCCTCCACCCCTTTTAGCATCATAGAAACCCGAGAGTGCCTTGGGTGAACTTTTGGAGCTTGGAGAAGAGTGTTTATGGTGATTTGTGTAAGAGAAGAAGAAAGTTGATGACTCATTTCCTAGAAGGAGCTTATAGATCCAGAATGTTCTCATCTTTGGCAATCCATTGGAGGTAAAAAGATTTGATCTTGTCTTCTCATTTCATAGATCCTCTTCATAAGTAGATATTATGGATCTGGATCTTTTAGGAGTCCTAAAGGCATAAAAATAGAATCTTTATGATTTGTTTGGATTCATGCATTTGTTAAGACCTTTCATTAAGTCACAACTCCTGGGTCCCATTAAGTCATATATTTAAGTAAATTAGCCAACTTTACGTATTAAGTCACCCATGGGAATAAGATACAAGAGTTTGGGTCAAGGACTTAAGTGATTAAGTGATTTTGGAGATGTTTGGGATTCAAAGGAGTATGATGGGCGTACGCATCTGGTACAATGCACGTACTAACATCAAGGCGTGTATGATGGGCGTACCAGCTGAGTACATGGGGCTTACTCCACCACATTGGACCTTCTTGGATTGTTGAATTTTTGGGCTTTAGACCTTCGACCAGGATTTGACTAGGGTTGACCATTTAGTATCTCAGGCCTTTTTAGATATTGGGCCTTCTTGGTTTAGGTCCATGATGGATTTGGGTCGCATGGGCCATTCCGGGTTAAGGTTTTCTTATGGGCTTGTGAGTGCATGGATTTTGTTAGACCTGCTAAGGATGTTTGTTTAGATTAGGTATAAGTTATTGGGCTTTAGTGTAAGGCCCATTTAAGGGTTTTGGTCCAGTTTGGAAAATTGGGCCATTAGTGGGCTTTCATGGATTTTGTGGTTTTATATCTTGTTGAGCTTGGGCCTTAGTTATGAATCTTGTTGGGCTAGGGGTAAAATGGTCATTTTACCCCAAGTATGGATTATGAATCATGGTTTGGGACCCAATTGCTTATTGGGTGATATTTTGGTGTTGTTAGCTCGGGGAGTTGTCAGGGCAGCAACTAAGGATTTCCGGCAGGGAGCTTCAGCAGTGCAAGGTGAGTTACCTTCCCAGTAT